GACGTCTCTTCAATAAATGGTATTGGGAAAATTGGTCAGATACATGCAAAAAAATGAAACTAGACCACCAACTTACACCAGACACAAATATAAACTTAAAATGGATAAAAGACTTAAACATAAGATGGGAAACCATAAAAATCTTAGGAGAATCCATAGGCAGCAAAATAACAGACATTTGTCATAGCAATATCTTTCCTGACACAACTCCTAGGGCAATGGAAAAAAGGAGAAAATAAATGGGGCTACAGGAAGACAAAAAGCTTCTGCACAGCAAAAGAAACCATCAACAAAACAACAAAAGAGCCCACTGCATGGGAGAACATATTTGCCAATGTTATATCCAATAAGGGTTTAATCTCCAAAATTTATAGAGAACTCATACAACTTAACAAAAGGAAGAGAAACAATCCAAAAAAAATAGGCAAAGGACCTAAATAGACACTTTTCAAAAGAGGACATGCAGAAGGCCAAGAGATATATGAAAACATGCTCAAAATCACAAATCACCTGAGAGATGCAAATCAAAACAACAATGAGGTACCATCTCACACCTGTCAGAATGGCTATCATCAACAAATCAACAAATTAAAAGTGCTGGAGAGGATGCAGAGGAAAAGGAACCCTCTTGCATTGTTGGTGGGAATGCATACTGGTGCAGCCACTGTGGAGAACAGTATGGTGTTTCCTCAAAAAATTAAAAATGGAACTTCCATTTGACCCAGTAATCCCACTTCTAGGAATATATCCCAAGAAAACAGAAACACCAACCAGAAAGGATATATGCACCCCTCTGTTCATAGCAACACAATTTACAATAGCTAAGATTTGAAAACAACCTAAGTGCCCAGCAGCAGATGAGTGGATTATAAAACACTAGAGGCCCAGTGCACAAAAATTTGTGCACTCAGGGGGGTCCTTCAGCCCGGCTTGTGCCCTCTTGTAGTCTGGGACCCCTCAGGGGATGACCACCTGCTGGCTTAGGCCTGCTTCCCAGGGGATTGGGCCTAAGCTGGCAGTCAGACATCCCTCTGGCAACCCGGGATGTCCACTTGCCAGCGGGGACCAGGCCTAAGCTGCAGTCAGACATCCTTAGCGCTGCTGAGGAGGCGGGAGAGGCTCCCACCACCACCACTGTACTGGCAGCCATCAGCCTGGCTTGTGGCTGATCCGAGCTCCCCTTGTGGGAGCTCCTGCATTGAGCGTCTGCCCCCAAGTGTTCAGTGTGCATTATAGTGACCAGTCATTCCCAGTCGTTCTTCTGTTAGGATCAATTTGCATATTACCCTTTTATTATATAGGATAGAGGCCAGGTGCATGGGTCGGGGCTGGCTGTTTTGCTCTGAAGGGTGTCCCAGATAAGGGTGGGGGTCCCTCTGGAGTGCCTGGCCAACCTGGGTGAGGGACTGAGGGCCGTTTTCAGGCTGGCCACAGCCCCTTCAGTGTGGGGGTTCCCACTGGGGTGCATGGCCAGCCTGGGTGAGGGGCTGAGGGCCGTTTACGGGCTGGCCACAACCCCTTCAGGGTGGGGGGTCCCTGCTGGGGTGCCTGGCCAGCCTGAGTGAGGGGCTGAAGGCCATTTTCAGACTGGCCACACCCCCTTCAGAGTGGGGGTCCCCACTGGAGTGCCTGGCCAACCTGGTGAGGAACTGAGGGCCATTTTCAGGCTGGCCACAGCCCCTTCAGTGTGGGGGGTCCTGCTGGGGTACCTGGCCAGTCTGGGTGAGGGGCTGATGGCTGTTTGCAGGCTGGCCAAGGCCCCCAGCCACCCAAGCTCCCAGTGGAGGCTGGCTAGAAACAGGTATCTGGGATTTATTTATCTTCTATAATTGAAAATTTGTTGCCTTGACCAGAGGCCACAGCCGGCCAGGGCAGGCAGGGAAGCTTGGCTTCCTCTATCACTGGGCAACCAAGCATCCTTCTTGCTCCAGCCTTGTGGCTTCCAGCTGCCATCTTGGTTGGGTTAATTTGCATATAGTCGCTCTGATTGGCTGATGGGCGTGGCTTGGGGCATAGCGGAGGTGTGGTCAATTTGCATGTTTCTGTTTTATTAGATTAGATTGATACATCTACACATGGAAAACTACATTGCGGTAAAAAGAAGGAATTCTTACCATTTTCAACAGCATGGATGTACCTGGAGAACATTATGCTAAATGAAATAAGCCAGTTGGAGAAGATAATATTACATAATCTCACTCATTTGTGGATATAATGGACACATAATCTGATGAACAAAATAGATCCAG